TGCTGGCCCGTGGCAAAAATTCTCCTTTTCTTTCCCTGCAGCAGCCTGGACACCTGTAATTGGCCTTTCTCAAGTCCCTGAATTCCCAGTCAGCAGTTCCCCAGCAGGGAATTAGGGGAACTGCAATCCGAAAGAGGCGGAGGGTGCCGGCCTGGATGAGAATTTCCACTGGATGTGACTTGCAGACAGAGGTACGGGAGGCTTGTTGGCCACCGCTGAAAACGTGGTAATGATGGCTGAGCAGCTGTTTTGCCAAAGGGAGGAATTAGCAAGGGACGCCTTTTCCAGTCCTGCTGCCAGTGGGTGCCTTTTCCCTGCCCCACAACTTCTGCTCCACCCAGCCCTTTCGTTTGCATAACGGATTTTGGCCACGGGCGCCATGTGTGTGTGGTCCAGCTCAGTCACTCTGAGGCGGTCCGGAAAGATCCCTTCCAGCTCCCCAGGGTGGACCCCAGCAATTTCCGCCACCACGCAAAGCCAATGCCGTCTCTCCAGCCGCTTCCAGGGTTGAGGGGGCCCTCCATCAGGGCGGGGCTACGCCTGTGGAGCCCTCACCCAAATCAGTTTCCCCGGGCCTGGACCGGTTTCCCAGGGAGAACGGGAGTTTTCTTTTAAGTTTAACTTAGTCGCCACACAGGCAGGCGATGGTTGAGGTGGGCTGGCACTGCAAAGAGCTTGGCTACTGAGCTTGCTGCGTGGCAATTCAGCTCGTGCCGGGTGTGTGCCTCTCTCCATTGGTTTGTGATGATCTGAGCCAGGGTGCAAATTAATTAAGGAATGTGTTTGTTTGAGAGGATTTGGATGAGAAGTTGATTGGCTGGCCTGGCACTGAAATGCAGTCACATTCAAACGCATTTTACCCGTTATTTATCCATTGGTTCTGTGTTGACATAGGTATCTTCTATGCAGATTTGTACCCTTTAGGACTGGGTTCTGGATCTTTTAAGCGCTGAGCAACACTTTTGCCTCAGCAAAAAGCTTTCTGCTCTTGCTGTCTCTCTCTCTCTCTCTCTCTCTCTCTCTCTCTCTCACACACACACACACACACACACACACACACACACGTACAGGGACTGAGAGAAATTGAGACTTCCAGTTGGGACCCTTCTGCCCACCTGCCAATGCCCTGGAAGAAATTTTGGGAGCCCTGGCAGCTATCACATCATGCCAGGTGCTGACGGTAACCTGTCTGACTGGGTGAGGTGCACACATGGACAACCAGGCGGTAACACAAAGGGATTTGGGTTTGGTTCCATCTTCTCCTGAGAGCTACCTGGGAAGGGAGGGCTGAATCTGTGAGCAGAGAGCCACTATTTAAAGTAGACAAGACACCCTTTAAGCACATAAAATCAGGCTAGCTAAAGGCTGCTTTTTGTGTCAGTGACATAAATTCTAAACTTTCATCACAACAAGTCAGCAAAGGTTGAAGCAGCCCTGTGAAAGGACGCAGTGCAGAAACCGGGACACATTCTCCCTTTTTTCTTAAAGATGCTTTTCTCAGCCTGGTCCCCTTCAGTTGCTTTGGACTTTGACTGAGAGCCATTGTAATGCAGTGGTTTTAGTGCTGGACCGAGACTCCAGAGACTCGAGGTGCAGTTCCATCTGGCCGTGAAACTCACTGGATGACTCTGGGCCAGTCATGGACTCTCAGCCTCACCTACCTCACAGGACTGTTGTTATGACAATAATATGCAGAGGAGGAGGACCTCACAAGCTACTGTGGGTCCCTCACAAGAGGAAGACAGGCAGGATGTAACAGTAATGTAAGAGTAACAACTCCCGCCAGCCCATGGCAGTGGGGCCGATTCGCAGGAATGCTTTGGGTTGCCTCTCAGACACCTGGAGGGCACCACAGTGGGAAAGTCTGCTTTGAAGGGTCATCCGTGCCCCCCCTTTCGCAATGGATGCACGTGGGTCAAATGTGGAGAGCAAACTGCCTGCTGTACCCTCATTCCTCTCTGTGCACAGTTTCTTTTCTTTGCACAATGCTGTGACCCCCATTTTCACTTTTGTGTGTCATCAGGACTTCTGGGGGGATGGGGGGTGTCTTTTAGAGCAGAGAACATGCAGCATTTAATTTTAAAAGCGAAATTACAGTTTTTTGCCATATAGTGAGGGCTGCGTTTGAATATTACATTTACTATCCATACCTGACCCATGTTTCTGAATTGCTGCAAACTTCCCAGGCAGCATCAGCAATTAGGCAGTAGAGAAATGAGATAAAAATAAACAATGGACACCATTCACCTATGATTTTGTATTAAGAACACACTTTCAAGGGGGAAAAGTTTAAGGCCTTCTTTAGCAAACATGATGAAACTTGAGGTGGAGTTCAGAAACCAGAAATTAAGCCAAGGAAAAGCTTGGATTTTCATATTCGTGATGTCTTGGATGTTAAGCAAGATTTTAATTTGAACTGTAATGTGATTTTTTTCCAGGCTGTTGCTCAGTTTAAAGACATTCTCGGTTAATGAGCTGTGTTTGACTAAAGTAATCTATTAAATCTGCATATGTTCTGAGAGGGAAAAAGCAAACTTTGTCTTGAGACTGGGCCTACTTATTGTATAAGGCACTATGAGAGAGAAAGAGAGGAAATGAACGTTCTTCTGGTATACATATATGCCCTGCCACTCATCGCTTTGGCAAGAACTTCTCGTAAAAACAATTGCTCCATTTAAAATAAAGCAGCTGCTTTATTTTAATTGGGGGGAAATTTTCAATAGACCAAAAGGGTCGGAGGTCCAGTCCTATGCATGTTTCAGCAGGCAAAAAGTCTTGCAGTTCCCAGCAAAGCCAGATGGGGAATGCTGAAAGTTCTTTTTAAAAATGTGTTTTTTTAAGCATACCAAGGATTGAACCCTTAATCAATTAATTGAGAAATTGTGCAATCCAACCATCAGTTAACTGTGGATAGAATTACAGCATAAATGTGGTCCCACCCTTTTGAGGGCGGGGGGGTTATCTATTGTATTTCCTTCCTGACCACTTGAAAATTCCAGAAATCTATATCTGAAAAGGCTGTCAGGGATGATTTGATAGCACATAACAACAAAAAGCTTTGAAAAATATGACTGCAGTCAGGAAATCTGGTGGAGATGTTCCATTTAATACAGCGTTTAGGCTGAAACATTTTCCCTCTTTCCTAGGAGTGAGATCCTCTGAACTTAGTAGAATTTGCTTTTGATTAGGCACATATTAGACTGCAGCTTGAGTCTTCTTACCTGAAACGGACTTATGTAAGAAGCGATATCTCACTACAGTGCGTGCCCGACCTTTAGGCAGAGAGAGGAGGTACTGGCTGGTCACCACCCCACCTGGCTGCCCCTCCTCAGCTTCCCGGAAATTCTCCACCCCCAGAACATGTGCCCAAACTGACACCCACTGAACAGCCTCCCTGCCTTCAGGTGTGGTGATGAAGGAAGCTATCCCATCACTGAACGAAGATGCCACTGGACGTGCAATGGAGGAAGGGACATCACTTCGGCCTCCTCTTGGGCCTGCTCTAGAGATACCCCTGCCCCGTGCAAGAGGCTGTGGGTTGTTTTCAACCACGGGACATCCTGCAATTATCAAGAACACAACTCTACGTCATCACCCCAGCCCGGCTCAGACCCTCAGCTGATCCGGTCCTCCCCGCCGGGTCCTACACTGTAGCCTGAGCCTTCGGACTCTCCTTCCTCCCTTCCCCACCGCTCCACAGCTGGATTTCCCCACCCAGACTTTTCTTCCAAAGTCCATCCCTGATTGCAACATACAAATCCCCCGCCAGAAGGAATGGTCCTTGTCTGATAATTTCCTGGAACTTTAGTAGTAGCTATCCTCTTGTCTCTTGGGATCTTTCATTTTCTGCCTAATGTTCAGACTTTTTTCCCCTTGACTGCATTCTCCTCGCAGTCCTACACACACTTACTTAGAAGTAAACTCACGGAATGTGGTGGGGCTTAGGCTGAATTGCCAAAACTACAGGAAAGTATTAGCTAAAAAAGAAAAGGCAGCATGATTTGCATATGCATGATCTGCCAATTGATAAATACCCATAATTGGAATAGAAATGCAGTGCATCTCATCATAGTGCGGACCAGGGCAGCTCACCTGTGTGCCTACCTGGCCAGTCTGCTATTCAGGTGCCAGCTTATACTGGACATGGGATTTCTTTTTTTTAAAGGACCTGTGGCCACTTTAGGCTTACTTCTGAGTAAGTACACATAAAACAGCCTGCAAACGTTTCCATGGGTGCGTCTATTCTGCGCATTTGCTCTCGTGCGGAGAAAACAAAACGGTAAGACCGTCCGGAGACCTCGGTAGCGGATGGTATATAAACATTTTAAAGAAAGAGAGAAAGAAAACGAGGTAGCCACGGGAAGGACAGGTAGCTCGGGGACTGGATTAAAAAGAAAGGCTGTGGAAACGAAGTCCTCCCCCGGAAGCTTCCCGCTGTAACCTGCGCGCTTCGCTCCTCTAATGGTTGGCTGAAACGCACTCTGCACCTTCTCAGACGCACCCTCGTCCAACATGGAAAGCCCGGCTCTTATTAAGCCCCAGGCGAAAGGACAGCGCGGACATTCTAACGGAAAGTGTGCAAGAGAAAGAGCTAAGGGCGTCTTTCCGGAAAGGTGGGGGGGGGGGAGAAATCAGCCTGTAGCCGGGGGTGGGGTGGGGTGGGTGCGGTTGTAATGAGGGCTGTGGGGTAACCTAAATGTTCTCCTCTCCCCGTTTTTTCTCTTTCTTTTTCTGGTTTCCAAACAGTGCTTAAAAGTTTGCAATGTTGTCTTTAAAGGGCCAGCGCACCGGATGGACGCCCCTCGACTTTTTGGCCCCCTCCCGATCTTCAGGCTGACCCCGAGCCTGGGTAGCCACCCCAGTCCCGAATCCGCATTGCCGGGCAGTGAGCGATCCCGATGAGGTCAGAGGGGGGCCCAGCCCAGCTTGACGCAAGGCGCAGACCGCCTCCCTCCTCCTCCTCTCGATTCAAAACGTCCCCCCGCCAGAGATCTGCGCGGTCAGATTTGCCTGCGGCTCGCTCGGATCCTGCTCGGGCCGCTTCAGGGCTGCAGGTGAGCGGAGACCCGGGGACGGGGAGGAACCGGGGGCGGGTGGCGGACGGGGAGCCAGACTCTCCCTTGCTTTGGGAGGGGAGTGTGGGCTAGTGGGCAGACTGCGCCTTCACGGGCGCCTCGCGTTCAGTGCGGGAGCTTAACTCGCATCATGGAAAGTCAGAAGAGGAGCGTGCCCCTGAGCACATGCAGAGTGCATTTACTTCTTCCTCCATGGCGTAGATATGAATAAGTCATTGTATATCGGGGATGGTCCATCCGCTTCATCTGCATTAGTACTGTTGCGTTACAAGTGATCTTTCCGGTAGCTCTCCTTTTTATTCTCTCAAAAGGTAAGGCACCAGAGAAGCAGGACATGAATGCAGTCCTGCCGCCACACCAAGAGGGAGAGGTGCGTATATGTGGGGACTCAAGAGGACTTAGTGGAAACCTTTTGCAGCTTTAAAAGTTCCCCTTCTGGTCGTGGCAGACAAGGTGGCGAACCATGGCTTCCAGCTCTCCCCTTCGTGTTCCTTTTAATGTACACACAAGTGTCAGTTCTGAATCCTAATCCAGATTAACAGTTGTGAGCTGGAATATTTAGACTGGATCTGTTGGGGTCAAAGAATGAGTGTCTGTACTAGCCTTCACCTATACATATCCGCCAGATGTTTTGGGCGACAACTCCAAGTATCTCTGGCTATTGGAGAAGCCTGTTGGGCCTGATGGGAGTTGAAGTCCAAAACATCTGGGCTGGTGTACACAGAGCTCATATAGGCAAAAACTGCATTTGTTTATTTTAGCAACAGAGGTGGTAAAACATGAGATATGAATGAAAAACAGTTGTGACTCTTGACTGTCACTGCCAGTGTGCAGAAGGGAGGAGCGTCTAGTGGTTAGTGCAATAGAGAGGATGGGAAATCCTAGAATAGCCTGTGTGTGTGTGTGTGTGTGTGTGTGTGTGTGTGAGAGAGAGAGAGAGAGAGAGAGAGAGAGAGAGAGAGAGAGAGGATAGCTCAGTGGTGGAGCACCTGCTTTGTATGCAGGCAGTCACAGGTTCAGTCCAGGTGGGGCTAGAAACCCACTGGAGAATCTGGAGCAGCGCTGCCAGATCAGAATGTCCCACTCCACAGAGGGCAGGATCCCGTGTTCCCCCCTGGCACCAACAGGCATGTTTTCAACCTGTGGCACATCACTGTGTCTGGCCTGCACCACTGCCAGGGTTGATTATAGCTAGTTGCCCAAAGCCCAGCCAACTGCACACCAGACTAACAACACTGACAGGGAAGCTGCCATGCCCAGCCCGGGGTCCCAGGTCATCCGGCAGGTTCACTGACTGCGGCAGCCACGGACAGTCTGGCTTGTCAGTGGAACGCTCTTCCCAAGGAGATTCGCCTGGCACCTTCTTAGGCTCTTTTCAATGCCAAGCAAAGACCTACCTTAGAAAAAGAATTTTAATAGTTGATGCCACTAAACCTCTGTTTTGTATTTTATCTGTATTTTATCTGCATCATATTTTTAATTGTTGTAATTGGTCTTACTATGGTGTTTGTCCTATGACTGTGAGCCTCCCAGAGGTGCCATGGCACAATAGGCGGCATACAAATGTTTTAAATAAATAGATAGTCAGATAGATCAGTAATAGGGTGAAGTTGCAGCAATCCACCTGCCTGAGCTACGGTTCTTCCTATAGAACTGCCTCTCTAACTTCCAGGTGTGCATGCAGGTTGGGCAGGGTGGCTGCAGGGGAGGAAAGAGTCGTGCCTCCTAAATCCAGCCTTGGCATACTTTACAACAATACTGGAAGAGATAAGCTTGCGCTATGAACTGAGTGTTGCAGCGCAGAAGCTGAGGCTGAGCACACTTGCCCAAGGACACCTTCCGTGTTTGTAGTCGAGTCGCGATTGGACGGCAGCGCTCTTGCACAATATGGTGTATCATAAATAGTTACCATGGACTTCAGCCACAACACGGTGGCTTTACAAAAATCTGCTTCCACTTTGCTGATTCTTCAGACCCCAGACAAATGTGCTTGACACCCACACAATCAAGTGTACTTTCCATGTGCCTTGTTCAGCTTTTTGGCAGTGTTGCTTTGTGATGGTTAGCAACAGGAGGGGTAGGAGCAGTAGGGACAGTGGTTAGAGATGAAAGGGGAGCTAACCCATTCTCTTTTGACTGTTTGCTGGGGAAGATAGATGGCTGTCCTTCACTCAGTACCGCACCTGACTTCAGGGTGGCGCGTTGGGCCCGTGGGCTTAGCCGCCTTGCCTTGAGGTCCCGTGCCTGGCCCACTCTCTACGGTTGCAGCTTTGAAGTGGAAGCTGCCAGGTGGAAAGAGCTTTTGGTGCTCTGCAGCAGAACAGACGAGTGGAGGAAATAGGAGATTCTTGTTCCAGTCGTTGAGGGGTGTGTAGTAATAGCACATACCATGTCAAGCACTTTTGTCATTTATTTATTCAATGACCCATTCGTGCCAATTCCTATATTTTTTGAAAACGCCCCTCCTTTGGCCTTGGTAACAATTTTTATAGCTTTACTCTGAGCCCCTGCCAGACGGTTAGTTTGACATTCCTTCAAAGCAGAGAGATGTTGTGCAAAGTCTTGATTCTGGGAGCAGCAGTCACACTCCTCTGGAGCCATCAGCTCTGCTGCCCTTTTCCTGAGGACAGCCCTGAGAGATTGTTGCCTCTCAGCCGGTGTTACTGGGCTTTACTCTGAACCACAGCAGAGCCCTGGACCCATAGAGGTTCCTTTGCGGTAGGTGGCATGGCGGTTGGAGGGTTGACTGGGACTCTGAAGGTCCTAGTCCCACGGCCCACTGGGCTATGCAGTTCACTATATGTCTTTGGGTCAGTCGCTGACTCCCAGCCTAGCTACCTCACTGGGGTTTTGTAGGGGTCAAATGCAGAAGAAGATGGTGTAAGCTACCTTCAGCTCTCACTGTGCCTTACCTAGGCACTGCACTCAAATTCTGAGCCCTTCATCTGAGAACTGCAGCTGAGGGAAGCTCAGAAGTTGGCAACACAGAGGAGGGCCTTCCCAGTGGAAGCCCCTAAGCAGGGAAGGATCATCCCATTGAGGCCTGCATGGTGCCAATTCTGCTCTCCTTTTGGCACCAGATTAAGACTGCCCTTTGTGTTGAGGCATTTAATGGCTTTGAAGTGACATACGCTGGATCATGGAGAAAGCTAGAGAGTTCCAGAAAAACATCTCCTTCTGCTTCATTGACTATGCTAAAGCCTTTGATTGTGTGGATCACAGCAAATTGTAGCGAGTTCTTAAAGAAGGGGGAGTACCAGACCATCTTATTTGTCTCTTGAGAAACCTGTACGCGGGTCAAGAAGCAACAGTGAGAACTGGACATGGAACCACTGATTGGTTCAAAATTGAGAAAGGAGTTTGGCAAGGCTGTATACTGTCGCCCTGCCTATTTAACTTATATGCAGAGCACATCATGAGAAAGGCAGGGCTAGGTTAATCACAAATTGAAATTAAGATTGCCAGGAGAAATATCAACAGCCTCAGATATGCAGATGATACCACTCTAATGGTAGAAAGTGAAGAGGAACTAAAGAGCCTCTTGAGGCAGGTGAAAGAGGAGAGCACAAAAGTTGGCTTGAAACTCAACATTAAGAAAACTAAGATCATGGCATCTGATCCTATCACTTCCTGGCAAATAGGTGGGGACGAAATGGAGGTAGTGACAGATTTTATTTTCTTGGGCTCCAAGATCACCGCAGATGTGACTGCAGTCAAGAAATTAAAAGAGGCTTGCTCCTGGGGAGGAAAACTATGGCAAATCTATTTTATTTATTATTTTTTATTATTATTTATATCCTGCCTTTTTCCTACAAAGGGCTCAAGGCAGCTAGACAGCATACTAAAAAGCAGAGACATAACCCTGCCAACAAAAGTTCATATAGTCAAGGCTATGGTTTTCCCAGTTGGCTGTGAAAGCTGGACCATAAGGAAGGCTGAGTGCCAAAGAATTGAGGCCTTAGAATTGTGGTGCTGGAGGAGACTCCTGCCAGTCCCTTGGACTGCAAGGAGATCAAACCAGTCAGTCTTAGAGGAGATCAACCCTGACTGCTCTTTAGAAGGCCAGATGCTGAAGATGAAACTCAAACACTTTGGCCACCTAATGAGAACAAAGGACTCCCCGGACAAGAGCCTAATGCTGGGAACAATAGATGGCAAAAGAAGAAGGGGACAGCAGAGGATGAGGTGGCTGGATGGAGTCACTGAAGCAGTTGGTGTGAGCTTGAGTGGACTCCGCGGGATGGTGGAGGACAGGATGGCCTGGAGGGATGTTGTCCATGGGGTTGCGATGAGTTGGACACGACTTTGCGACTAAAAACAACAAGTGGCATATGGAGGACTTCTGTTTGCTATGTATTTTTCCCCTTTTCACAGGTCTAGTTGTACTAAATTGGCTTTAGTTGTTTGAGTTGTTTTAAATTTTGCGTTGCAATATAATGCTTTTATTGTCTTTGTTTGTGCATTGCATTTTATTGCACTGCACAGGGTTGGGGATGACCACCCAGAAAGCTTCAGCTATGAGGCAGTATAGAAATTGAATAAATAATAGTAATAAATAACATAAATGTAGACATTCACACATTAGAACTGTCTCTGGGCTTCCAAGGCAGTGCATCTTCCTCATTTGCAGATCCTACCCACAGACGCCAGAAGTCCAGTGTGAGTAAGATCAGAGAATCACAGAATAGTAGAGTTGGAAGGGGCCAGGAAGGCCCTCGAGTCCAACCGCTGCTGTTGCAGGACATCAGTGCCGGTGGACAGAAGAGAAGGCAACGTCTCCTGTGGGACTATGTCCAAGCGTAGGGCACGAGGGGACAAAATAGCCAATGCACTTGCGAGAAGTCTTTGAGTCTCTGCCCCAGCACGGGCACGTGAGCTCCTGAAGCCCTTTAGAGGAGTTGGCACACACCTCTTGAAATCCCCAAGCTGCCTCACCCAGTGCAGAAGGGACATTTCTTCCTCACAGGCCTTCCCGCCCTTGAAATGCACAGGTGGGGCCCTGTGCTCCGCTTCTCTGTGGGAACAGCAGGGAAAGTGACCGAGCCCAGTCAGGCGCCATGCATCGCGGCGCGGCCTGCAGGGAATGAAGCTGAATAGGTTCCTGAAGAAGAGCTGCACCCAGTGGATCTGGGCTTGCACCTAAGGTTGCTGAATGACTTGATCTCTGTGAAAGATGCGAATTGAGGGAAATGTCCCTAAACGTCCCTTTGAATCATTTATTCTACCTCTGCTCATGCCGTGCTTAGAGTGCTGGACTGAGATTCAGGAGGTCTGGGCTCCAGTCCTTAGCTGCCCATAAGCATGAGGACAACTTTGAGGTCGTAACTCTCAAAGCCTAACCTACCTCACAAAATTGTTGTGAAGAAACTGGAGAAGAGGAGAATTGGATACGCTGCCTTGGGTTTCCTGCGGGGAAGATGGCAGGATACAAATACCATGGGATAAAAATGGGGATAATGGTGATAAAGCCATGCAAAGCACCAAAAAGCAATGCAGGCATTCAGGCTCCTCGATCGTGGGCATTCTGTGTCAGCGATCGTGCTGGCTTCTGAGAGTTTACCGAGCATTGTTCATGCTGTTCTAGCTTATTCCTGTTCATCAGGACCAGGAACTTGGTTTGTTGTCTTATTAAGAAAATACTTTATTGCAGTACTGGGCACAATTTTTGCAATTCTCATCTACTCACTGGCCTGTTGAGAACTGCAGAATCAGTACCCTTGGAAGCGACCTTCCTTGCTCACTTTCCTGGCTCTTCTTTCCAGGGATGGATGCAGCTAAAGCCCCCAAGGTCTTGGTCTCCACTGGACGGCGCATACTTACCATCGGCTTTGCCTTGCTCATCCTGTCGGTGCTGGCATGGGCCTATATCACGGGTGTGCAGCTGGCTGCCGACAAGTACCACATCATGGCCTTCGGTCTCTACGGAGCCTTCCTCGCCTCGCATCTCGTCATCCAGAGCTTCTTCGCCTTCCTGGAGCACAAAAAGATGAGGAGGGACTCGCTCACTTGCAGCTACACCAAGACGGTGGCTCTCACCATCTCTGCCTATCAGGAGGACCCGGCCTACCTCCGTGAGTGCCTGCAGTCGGTCAAGGGGACCTTGTACCCCCCGGAAAAGCTGCGGGTGATCATGGTCATTGATGGCAACAGCCCAGAGGACAAATACATGATGGACATGTTCCAGGAGGTCTTTGCCGGAGAGGATGTGGGCACCTACATTTGGGAGAACAACTACCATCACCAGCCTCAGCTGGATGTGGATGAAGGTGACAGCGGCTACCAAGCCGGGGATGAGCCGTCTGACTACAGCGAGATAGATATGGAGGACCCTGGGCAGCTGGCTGTGGAGGAGCTGATCCGGACTAAGAGATGCGTCTGCATCATGCAGAAATGGGGTGGGAAGAGGGAAGTCATGTACACGGCTTTCAAGGCCCTGGGGAACTCTGTGGACTATGTCCAGGTAAGGGCCTGTGTCCTTGTGGTCTGGTCTGCCTGTGTTGTCTTAGCTACTTCTCTGTCACACGCAGCTTTTCCTCTGAGCAGTTCGAGGCGACATCCATGGTGCCGTTCCACACCACTTCAGTGCTCCTCTGCCTTTCTCCTAGCAGCACTTGCCTTTGTCCTTTTCGGCCTCTGTTTCCAGATTGGTTTCCAGTTTGCTAAGGCACTCTTTAAAAAGGAAGCAAGACAGTCAGAGCCTAAGAAAGTCTCGGCTGGGTTGCTGTGCTGTGAAAGTGAAGGCTACAGGACACTGCGGTCTTCTTGCGGGGATGGGGGGTTTGCAGCCTCCAAAAACAGCCTTCCCCAGCCTGATGTCCTCCAAATGTTGGGGATGCTGGAAGTTGTATTCCAGCACATGTGGTTGGGGAAGGCTACTGTAGATACTCTTGGGCTGGGAGTCCCATCATCCTTAATCGTTTGGCTGTGTTGACTGAGATTGGTGGGAGTTGGAATCCAAGACTATCCAGAGGGCCACATGTTCCCCAAAAGCATCTTGTTGGATGCAGAAATGGCTGCAGTTTTACTTCTCTGCATGCAGAATATTTACTTTGTGCACACACTAGCAAACCTTAGGAGATACAATCATGAATCATGATTACTGAGCTACCTATAAAAGTTTGCTTTCTCTAAGAATGCATCACCTGTCAGCCCGAGCTGTTATGGCCAATGCTCAGGAATGCTGGGAGTTGTAGCCCGAAACATCTGGAGTGCCCCCAGCGGTGGAAGGGCTGGCCTGCCAAGGCCATGGGCAAACTGAGTTCCGTATTCAGTCTCTCTATTCAACCTTCCATCACCATTGCACGAAAGTCACATTCCTCCTCACATGTTGCTCTTTGCACAGCTGGACATCGATCGTTCCATCTTATGCACAAAGCAAGCGAGTAGAGAAATTATGGTTTACTTCACGCCAGCTGATGAGTAGCACATGCTGAGGCAGCGCTTGAGCACGGTGGTCTGGTGCACACGCTTCCGGCTCTTCCTCTATTGAACCACACTTGCCAAAGATGGAAATGTGCTTTGTTTTAATAAGGGGTCCTTTAAATATTCCCTGGTTTTGCCACTGGTTCATTTGGCATGTACTTCTCACTGCGTTATAGTTTGTGACTAGTGGTCCCTATGTGAATAGAAACCCCTGGGGAGCATTGTGGTTTTGGCAGAGCTGTGAAAAGCCATAAAAAACTTCAAGTGCATTGCACGCTATACAAGTCATTGCTCGGTGTTGCATTTATCCAGCAATGACTGTGCAAGTGTGAACTAGCCCTCGGAAGCAAGAATTCAGTTGCTGATTCCCCCTTGCCCTGTAATCACGATTCCCTTCTGGGGAAGTTCTGGGGTAAAAGGCTGCTTCCTCATTCTAAATCTCTCGGCCTCTCCCAGGTTTGCGACTCAGACACCAAGCTGGAGCCCCAGGCCACTCTGGAACTGGTGAAGGTGCTGGAGTCGAACGAGCGCTACGGGGCCGTTGGGGGGGACGTGCGGATCCTCAACCTCTCCGATTCCTACATCAGCTTCATGAGCAGCCTGCGCTACTGGATGGCCTTCAACATTGAACGCGCCTGCCAGTCTTACTTCGATTGTGTCTCCTGCATCAGCGGGCCCCTGGGTAAGGCTCCCCGCAGCCCTACCTCCCTTCTCAGAAGAGGAAGCGCAGGCTTCTCAGTGAGGGCTGGCGGGTTCGGTCCGGTCGTTTCCCACCCATCTAACCGCATTCTTCCCCTTGCTGACTCCTGCAGGCCTGTATCGGAATGACCTCCTGCAGCAGTTCCTCGAGTCCTGGTACAACCAGAAGTTCCTGGGGACGCACTGTACCTTTGGGGATGACAGGCACCTCACCAACAGGATGCTAAGCATCGGCTATGCCACCAAGTAAGAACGCCTGGGTGCTGGAGCTCTGGGGGACGGAGGCGAGGAGGAGTGCGGCAGGCAGATTGACGGGCCAAGGTGCAGGGCCGTGGATGTGCGGAAGGTCGCTCTCCAGGTGCACTGACCGTCAGGCCCAGCAGCCCTAACCATTGGCCGTTGCTGCCGATGGCTTCTGGGGGCTGCAGCCCTCAAACCTGGATCTCGTGGAGGGGATTTCAAACTTGGGCTGGGAAGGCCTAGAGCTTTTCTACATGAGGAGGTTCATTGGCGCTCTCTACTCGCACTTTCAGTGCAGCATTAAGAACTGAGCATCCGCGAGAAAGATCCCTTTCTTGTTTTTGCACTACTTAAATTCTAGGAGGCACTGTGGTACAGTGGGAAAGCACAGCTAAAGAAAAGGAAATGGCATTTTCTTTCACTTTCTCAATTAAATATTCAAATTGAACTGCTCTAAGAAAAACGGAAAGGAAATGATGATTAGTACAGAAGCAAAACTAGCACAAGGTTATTTAAAGAACCCGTAAACAGCCTTCAGAAGGGGATGAGACGTGCATGATAAATGCCTCATGTAGAAAAGCCTGTAGGACCAAATCTCCATTCTTCTCTGGGCAAATGAGTGGCTGACTGGGGCATGCTGGGAGTTGTAGGCCTTTAAATATGCATAGGACTGAGCCCCACTGCTATATTTTCTCTCATTTTAAACCTCCCAATGCCGGCAGTTCCCTGAATGGAGCACTCTGCATTAAAAACAAAAAGGCATGAAAACAAAACTCCAGCCAAGAGTAAAAGAGAGAAAACTGGCAGCAAAGAATTAAAGCAGCCCAGCCCAGCCCATCTGCAGCCCTCATCTCCTTTCCTCACTGCCACGGCCGATACTGTGAAAAACCAGCGGTAACCCCATGAGGGTGAATATTGCCATTCTCTGAGGCTGGGGGACTCTGATCCCCCCCGCCCCGTGGCTGCAGTCTCCCTGCCAGGGCCCCCTTGTCAAAATACACCTCCCTCCCTCCCTCCCTCCCTCCCTCCCTCCCTCCAAGCTGGTACCCTCCATCCTTTTGGATTCCAACTCTAGTGAGCCACGACAGGGGACATGAGGCTGAAAGCAGGTGCACTTCAGGTCCTCCTAGAATTAACTTTTGCTCCTCCTCCTCCTCCCTTCCCCTCGGCCAGGTACACCGCCCGTTCCCGCTGCTACTCCGAGACCCCGGCCTTGTTTCTGCGGTGGCTGGCACAGCAGACCCGCTGGACCAAATCCTACTTCCGCGAGTGGCTCTACAACGCCCTCTGGTGGCACCGGCACCACCTGTGGATGACCTACGAGTCCGTGGTGTCCGGAATCTTCCCCTTCTTTGTCACCGCCACCGTCCTGCGGCTCTTTTACGGGGGGAACCTCTGGGACGTGCTGTGGGTGCTGCTGTGCGTGCAGCTCGTGGCCTGTGTGAAGGCTCTTTACGCCTGCTGGCTGCGCAGGAACCCCGTCATGATCTTCATGTCGCTCTACGCCGTGCTCTACATGGGTGGCCTGCTCCCAGCCAAGTACTTCGCCATCGCGACCATGAACAAGAGCAGCTGGGGCACTTCAGGCCGGAAGAAAATGGTGGGGAACTACATCCCGCTGCTGCCCCTTTCCATCTGGGGCTTGCTCCTCTTGGGTGGCCTGATCTACACCATCTGTCTGGAAGCCCTGGCCGACTGGACCACCGAGGCCAAGCAGACTGAAATCTGGTACCTGCTCATTGGCTCGGCCATTTATCTGGGCTACTGGACATTCATGATCATGCTTTACTGGGTGTGGGTACGGAGGTGCTGCCGGAAGCGAGCCAATTTCTACAGTATTCAGGTGTGAACCGGGCCAAGGGAAAGGACTATGCGTCCTGCAACCTATGAGGCAGAATGCCAGGCCACGAGGAGCTAGGAACTGGGACACTCTGGGTTGTTGTACAAGTCGTAGGAGCAAAGAACAGCCTAGCAGGAGTTTCTGCAGGACAAGAAGTGGGAGATCACGGCTCTGGGTGACGGCCCTGTGTCTTTCCTTCTTCTCTTCCTGTTTCTTTTTCTTTCTTCCCTCCACAAGGTGGCTCACCCATCAGGTAGAGACTCCCTGAAGTTCCCTTCTAGAACCCAGGGCATGGTGATGTTTCAAAAGCCCGAAGGTGCCTGTATCTCAGGGAGAGTATTTGTTTTATCCAACAAGATGTGAGAGGCTACAAGTTGCCCCTCTTCTCCTGCTTCAGCTGGTCTTTTTCCAGTTCTCAGAAATAATCCTGAGAACAGCTCAGTTCATTTGTTAGTGCTGAGTTTTTACCTTCAAGAGTACCTGTGCATCTGCCTTCTTCTCTTCAAAATGCAGCCACCTCTGGGCTGGGGCAGCTGGGTTCTGCTTTGACACAGGGATCTGCTTTGCACGGGAAACAGTCTCATTGCACTGAATCGCCACTGCAGCTCTGAGTCGAGATGCAGCAGCTGCTGAACAGGGACTCGGGACACGGTGGGTTTGGCCTGTTTGCTGCTGTTGAAGTTTGCTGGTCTGTTGCAGCAGGCAGCAGGCTGGAATTCACCAAGAAAAGAGGAAAGAAGCCCCCTCACCTTTGTGGAACTGGAGATCAGATGTCCACCTGTGAATTCTGCACAATTAAAGGATTTGGTTTTTTTCCCCTGGGGGGAAAGAGAGGGGAAACCCCCTTAACACTCTTCTTATCTTAAGGACACTTGATTACAAAAGCAAAAAAGGTTTACAGTTGTTCAACAGAAGCTGGAAATATCCACCTTGATGTTTACTCTTTTTCTCAACCCGGAAAGGAAATTGACACTGTTGTTCAGTGGAGGGTTCAATTCGCCCCCTCATCACCTCACAATTTTTTTGTCACAATATTGACTGTCTTGCAGTAAAGGACTTGATGTTATTTATTTGCCTTATTTTAATAACAGACCAAGGGCTATTTAATGACATTTTTATATAGAAGGAATCAAATGAGGATTTTAGAATAAATAAATAAATAAATGATATGAAATAAAACATTATTTATTTTGAAAACTTTTCCTTGGTGTGTTTTATTTTTATTTATTTCACTTTTTCAAACTGCAGCAGCACATGTTGCTATACAAGAGCAAAAGGGCTTAGCCTTTGTGTTCAAAGTACATCCTGCGTAAAGTAAGCAAGAATTCTGAGACAGGAGGGTGGGGCTGAAGCTTAAAACCCACTGGTGGGTTTATGGCCGAGATTGGATGGAAGCCAAGATGCCAGGGTTCATCGTTACCCACCCCCTCAGCCACTACCCTTTCCCAGCTCTTCTGCTTAAAAATGAAAATTGACAACAAATTCAAGTGGGGATGGGGAATCTCGCCGTGGGAAGCACACCTGATCTTTTAAGGCTCCTTAGGCAGTTGACCTCTTCTCCCGGGCCCACTCGTTTTCCCACCCATAATCACCTTGCGGCTTCCTGCTCCCCCCCTGCTCCCCCTCCCCCCTGCTAAAGGGTTGACATGCCTCTGGTAAAGCTTAGGACTTTTCTACACTTAATTGGCTATTATTATTATTATTATTATTATTATTATTATTATTATTATTAT